CAAAAAAGTCAGCTCAATCAAAGGGAGGTTGGAGGGAGGCAGATGGGGCAGCAAGCACAGGCAGATGGAAAGTAACATCATGAGTGAAATTACGACTTGTTAACAGACGACAGATGTGCCTCGAATCACTTCTACTCTACGCTGTTTTGGGAGTTGGGAAAACTTGGCCCTTTTTGCTTTTCTGTATTGAAGCTAGGGATATGCCAAAAAATTGGAAACTGCTCAAACTGTCTGGAACCGCTCGGAACCAGATCGGAACCAGTAGTTCTTAAGAGAATCGATCCGGTCCCGGTTCCAATTTTTGGGAATCGGTGGGTATCGGTCTGATTTTTTTATTCCAGGTATGGAACTGCCCACCCCGATCGGATCGGTAATATAATAATAATATAATATATTTATTTAATTCTTAATTTAAAAGAAAAAAAAAAAATCTTAAACGCCTAAACTAAATCTAACTTGCTCGACGCTCACAACCTCACATTGAGCCGAGAAACACCTTATTTCGCTTTCGTCTCACGTTCACTCTCACTCTCTTACTTTTCTTGGTCAATGCTCGCATCACCGTCTCCGTCTCCGTCTCCATCTCTCCATCTCCGTCCTGGCTAGCGGGACCGGTTCCATGGATCTACCCGGGATCCAGACCTTGGTGGACGGTTCCTGATTTTAAGATGGGAACTGTCCATCCAGACCATGCTCACCTCTAATTGAAGCCACGAAAAATCAACTGATAAATTTTCAAAAAAATATAGAAGACAGAGAGAGAGAGACAATCATATGTAGCATGCTGCACTGATGATCAAATAGTAGAATGATGTAGACAGAACAGGTAATAACAAAAAAATGATGAAAGCTAACCAAGAAAATCAAATTATATAATGGGTGACATTTTGTGAGAGAATGGAAGAGACAAATATAAAATAAATAAATAAATAAATAAATATCGAGTCCTTAAACAACATGATGTAAATTCGATGTTGGGTGTGTAGCACGTGACGTGTCATCCATCCAAAGATGAATGCGCAAAAATTATTTTACACCGTCGGTGGAAGTAATAATAATCATTTTTTTTCATACTTACGTGTTTATCCACTTGAATGCGCGGTTTTTAACGGGCGCCAAAATGACAACGCATGTTAATAATACAACCTTATCGACCTCTTATTTTTTTCGGTGTTGTTCATCGAATTTCGAAGTTCCTATTATTTAGCACCGTGCTTTTGAATTAAGTTTTAATATATGATATAAAAAGAAGGAGCTATAAATATAATCCCCAAAAAATAGGCATCTTTAAACTAATAAATAGAGGTCAAATAGCTACAATATATTTACGGTTGGAAAGGAAGGGGGCGTCAAGATTCTTTAAAAGCAGGAACTTCAATTGTTAAGATTCTTTATAAAAGACCAAAAAGGTAATACAAAGATAGCATTTTTTTTTGTTAATTTAGGAAATGAATTGAGATGAAAAGACAAACTAAAATATGGAAAATAGCGTAATTATGAAAACTTGCAAGTAGTATCGAAAGAGTAATTTACTTTTCTATGGAAAGTTGATAGATAATATTAAAAAGATTAAAAGGTTATGGACTAAATTCAACATTTAGAAATGGTTCAAGGATCGCGTTAAACAAACTAAAAGTCCTAGAATGATACTACACATTAAGCTAAATTTCAGGGATTATTCGTGCTATTTTCCTTAAAATAAACACTCGGAAGATATTCCAACATGAATCGCAGCGCTCTCATGGATATGTGAAGTCTACACCCATGTTAGCGTCCAAATCACTCGACACGACGGATGTAAACGTCGACGTTATCTCCTAAATTAACTTGCCCTAAAAGAAACAAAACCTATGAAGCTGGGGCTCCTTATGTACATATGCAAATGTTGTGGCATAGCTATTATTACACGAACATGGTACGTTAGGGCTAGCGAGGGACACACACCTTAGCCAAAAAAAATTCCTTATCGCTATAATTATGCGCCCAACGACCTTCTCAAAAGCCATAATAATTTGCATGGAAACGTGGGGGGGTGTGATTTGATTAAAGAAGTCCCACCTACCGTATAATCCCACATCATGATGATGATGATGATCCATCAATGCAAATTATGGATTCAATGGGCCCGCCTTGAAGAGGATTGGTTGGGGAGAAATTGATGGAAACCTTAAAAAAAAAAACAACCCGTTGTGTTTCACATTGAGTGCCCATTATTATTATTATTATTATTATTTTTTGATAACTCGGGAACCCCTCGCACGGCAGACAGCCGAAGAGGTAAATCCGGGGTGACGCTAGCGCAGGACCCACCACCACGACGTCACGCTTAAGAATCCCTAACGACAGGGCTGGGATTCGAACTCCTTCCCTTCGTGAGGGGAAGAGAGCCCGAAGCCAACGCAGCCGCTGCGGGCGGTGGTCCATTATTGTTATTATTTAGTTTTGTTTTTCTCCAACTTTATTGCATTAAAATTTTTCCAAATTAGATTTTTAAGGGCCGGTTACGAACAATGTAGGTGGTATCGTTATTTGTGATTCATCAATCTTAATATGATATCACTCTTGAAATACCTCGCATCGCTTAGCAATAGAATTTATATGCTATATATATATACATATATACTATGTAGAAGTCTCCCTCTACCTATCGACTCGAGCTTTTGGGTCAAATTTTCTGACATAATTTTGAAACCGGGCCCTATCCCTTTTGCGTGTGCGTCCATTCCCATGAGTCGAATTCCACGCGCCGCTTCAAATTCGACTTGCACGTGAGAGAAGGAGCGTTAAAATATTTCGCCTGTCGATTTAAAAATTTAAGGAAAAAAACAAGAAAAATAATGTTTATTTTTTTCTTCTTTTTTGGATGCATAGGGGGACAGAAGATGCCAGATAGATGTGGATTGGTTCTCAAGCAAAGGTTTGAGATGTGGAGCCTTTCTTCATTATCTCGTCTTAGCTGTTGTTGGATTGCACCAACCGCCATTTCTGGTGCCCTTTGGCCCTGTCGTTTTTTACCCGTAACTTCCTGTTTACGATGTTGGTGGGATTGGCCCAGGTTTGATGTTTACAGGCTCTCACATAAGCCAAAACGAGCTCCAAACGATTGTCAATTCTCGTGACACTACCCGTCGACTGTTCTAAAACAAAATTTCAATTATCGGGATCATTTCGAGAGTAAAAGTCCCGAATGTACCGATCCAGAAAGGTGGACTGATCAAGTTGCGCGAAAGCTGGATCGGACATTGCTTTAACACCGAAACCCAAAGAAGGAAAAGCTTTACTTTTGTTACATGAATGAACAGATTAAGTACCTTAACAAGGAGACGATACAACGTTGTCGGGTGCAAGTTGAATCGGTGCGCCATTGATCGTTGGATCGAATGAAATTCTACGTTAAACCTACGGCATCTGCGATACAAATTGAACCGAATGAGCATGCAGCCGATGTATCGTAGAAGTAAGATGACGTGCGATGTCATTCGCGAATAATCTTCTCCTATCTCGCCTTGCTTAGAGAGTAATGTGATTGGGAATGTCTACCTTTCTCTTTTGGTTGAAAAATATGAGGCATGGTTCTATAAAAATAAATTACATGCTTTCCGAATGTTCCTTCCAAATGTCGTGCAATCAATTACTCCGAACTCTATCGGGTTTTTTTTTTGACGAGTTCTTAGCGATGCTTCGTATTTTTGAAAATCACTAAGGCATTAAGAATGATCAAAAAAGTCGAGGTGAATGTAACGCGGTGCCAACACGACATCAGAACTTACGTAAGAAAACGCGGGGGAGCACGGACGATTCATTCGAGTCGCGCCTGCTCTCAACATCAAATGTCAACAAGATGAGCTTATAACGATCGATCTCGAGACACCGAGCCCGCCAACGCGCGAAACCGACCAACTTCACCAGCTCAATCAATCCCTTCTCCCACAAGCATCATTTTTTTTAAAAAAATAAAACCTAAAGAGCTGAGATTAGAAACAGCTACAGAACTGATGAAGGAAGAGGAAGCAAGGGCAACCACCCCACCAGTGGCGGCGCGACAGCTCAGCCCGGCGGCCGGTCCCTCCGGTTTGCCACCGTACGAACCAGATCTCCACCGCTGCCGCCGCTACCACCACCACCATTCTTGGCGTGCAATCGCAGAAACCATTGTTGCCGATTTACCCCTTTAGGCCCCACCCCCCATTTTTACAATTCTTTTTTTTTTTTATCATTTTCGAGTGATTATTACTATTCCTAATATCATCATTACTATTGTTTTTGGTCGAGATATTATCATTACTATTGCCTGGGTCATAATTGGGCGGCGCTCTTCTACCGTAGTTTTGCTAATTATTTACTGTTAAAAGCCATTTAAACCGTCTAGGTTGAATTGAACGAGAGTCAAGAAACTAAGACATTTACTCCAATATTCTTTTTCAACATTAATTCTCTTCGACAACTCAATTAATCTCACCGGTCCTCGCCACGACCCGAATCGACCGGCGCCCGATCACTCTTTAACAAAAATCGCTCACGACAATCCATAAGATTCCAATAGGGCGTATTTTGCTCCTATTTTTCATGGTATCATTAAACAGCAATCAGGCCGGTAGAGTTACTCGCTCCGTCATGAGGATTATACCGAAAATCGCATCGATAAATATAGCGTTATACATTGCACCGACTATTATCATGATGCTCGACAATCGGTATTTCGAAAATAATTTTTTTTGATTTAGTGCAAATGATAAACGTAATTTTTGTATTTACGTGCATGTTTTTTGGTTGTACGATCATGAAGCGACAGAACTAGCGCACAGGCCCCCGAGCCAAAGCGCCTATTTATCTTGTCCCTCTTCCTCTTCAGTGTCTTCGTGCAACTCACTCTGCTGTTAGTTCTGCACTCTCTTTCTCTCCGTTCTGCGTGCGCACGTTAGCCACCGCCACCCCCCCCCGACAGTGCGCGCGTTAGGACGAGAGACAGAGGGCCGCGCTTCTCTTACAAATCCTCCTCCATGGATCGCCTCCGCCGTGCCCTGCTGCTGCTCGGGCTCATCTGCATTGCCGCCGCCGTAGCCTCCGCTCAAGGCCCCGCCGCCCCCCCCACCGCCACCCCCGCTCCCCCCACGCCTACCGCCCCCACCACCTCCCCGCCCCCCACCACCACCACCTCCCCCCCTCCCGCCGCGACGTCCCCGCCCCCGGCGACCGCCCCTCCCCTCCACCCCGCCCCCGTGGCCGCACCTCCCCCACCACCCCGCCGCCGGCCACCCCGCCTCCCGTCAGCGCCCCCCGCCGGCGACCCCTCCTCCCGCCACGCCACCTCCCGCCACCCCTCCCCCGCCACCCCACCTCCCGCCACCCCCCCCGCCTCCCCCCGGCCACGCCGCCCCCGGCCGTCCGCCGCCAGCCCCCTCGCGTCCCCGCCGGCCCTCGCCCCCGCTCCGGGCCCCGCGAAGAAGCCGACGTCTCCGGCGCCGTCCCCGGCGCTGCTGAGCCCTCCGTCGCCGCCGACGGTGGCTCCCGCGCCGAGCCTCACCTTGGGGGCTCCAGGCCCGTCGCAGAGTGATCAGGTACGCGTCGCTTCCCTTACCAAAGTTAGTGAAAGTTCGTGAGCCTTCCGTGCTGCTGCGAAACCCGTCGCTAAAGAGAGCGAATGCAGCTAAAGAGCGACGGATCTTGTTCAGTTAGGTGCAGTGAGGATGCTCAGGAGGAGCCACTTAGCCCACTGGTGTTGGCCTAGAATTGATGAAAAAGAATGATATTAGGATTCTTTAGATCCATTATGAATAGTTAAACTACATGTTGATAGATCTCATTTATGGGATTGGTTGATATTTTATCAAATTTGAATGGTCTCCAGATGCACTTAGTAGAAAAAGAGAGAAGATAAAGAGGAAAGGGTTTTGAGCATTGGGTGCAGTGCACTGGTCTTATAGTTCCTGGGGTCAATACAATTAAAAATTCTGAAACCTATACTTTGCCCGTACATTTACTCTAAATTAATTTTCTCACGAAAAATCCCAAAACAGTACTTCGGCTCGAAATTTAACCTCTGTTAGCATTCCATCGAATATCTTTTTAGAATGTAAATGTGTTAACACACGAATTGGATCTGATCCGGAGAATGACAAATCCGACGTGGAAAATCCATTTGGGTTGACACGTATGCATTTCGATAAAGTACTGGGCAGAACATTAGCGAGAACACATTTGGGTATTAATTTGGGATTTTTGGGGAAAATAAAATTAATTTGAGATTATTGTGTGAAGTACCAATTAAGAACTTTTAATGGCATTAAACCTAGCTCATTTTTTTTATCCTTTTGTAACTGATGTCTGCAGTTAAGACCGCAGTTCTTGGGTTGGTGTAGGCTTTGGTTCATGGGGTCTGGACCAAAATTTGATGGGCCGGACTAGTTTGCGTGATACGTTGTGCTAGGCCTACGGGGTTGGGCTGTGGAAATGAAGTAGCCAAGATTGCTAAATTTGGAATCTTGGAAACTTTGGAAAGTAAAAGCATTAGAAAACAGAGATGAACGTCCCTTAAAAGATGGGTTTTCCAATTGGTTGATTTAGCTAATTTCTTTCTCAATGAGATCTTTATGATCTTGTCATAGATCTAGATTGAGCTGGTGGGGCAGTTAGGTGACTGTTGTTCTCTTAATGATGGGGGATGGAATAACATCCATATGATCTTTCGAAGATAATGTCGCGGCATCTCCATCCTTAGTTTGTCCTGAAAGAATGCCATTCCTCTAAAAAACTCAAGTTCTGTACTTAGTTGCAAGTATCTGTTCAGGAGTGCTTACTGTTTAGAGTAGCTTGAACTTTATTGCATGGTACTACTATGAGGAACTAATGAAACATGCTTCAGAATGTACTCTTAACTGGCAAGCCTTGTTCTTTTCACTTGCTGCAGAAACTACTGCAAGCCCTTTCTTTATTTCTCATATAATTCTCTCTGTTAATGGTTTTGTGAAGATGGGGTATCACAACTAAAACCTCGTGGCGTTAGGTACTGGTAGTTGTCGATAAATTGTGGTCAACCAACTCCATTATCACATATGTTAAAGTATCGGAGAATCTTGTTCAGCCGCGATGTTAAATTTCACCTGTCGATGATAGGTAGAGCAATCATGATCTAGATTGATCCAGTACAGCTGTTGATGAACTTACTTTCCATAAATTCTGGGAAGATATTGGCATGATAAGATTAGTGGGCTAATCAAGAACTCATCTGTCAAGTCCTCAGTGCCGCCCTTAACAACCTGATCAGATCTAATCTGGCTTCATGTTCTTGGGTCATTATCTCATAAACACTGAGTTTCTTCCTTCCTCTATGCAGAGCGGGGCAGAGAAGATCTTGTCAGTGCAGAGCATGGTGGGTGGCTTGGCTTTGGGCTGGGCTCTCATGGGGTTGCTACTCTAGAGCTATATGATCTACACTTCATGATTTAGTTCTATTTACTCCTGTCTTCATACTGTGTTATTTACCATCTTTGATGGGACTCTACTACATGTATTTTGAGCTCTTTTTGCTGTATTTTTTTTGCACACATTTGAGTTGGGATTCTTTGGGAGAGATTTTTGAGGGGGGAGGGTTCTGTTGTTGAGGAGATTTGTTAATTGCATGGGCTTGTTAATTAGCAAAACCTCTTTCTCTCTTGCTCTGTTCATTCCCTGCCTTTTTCCATGTTTCAGCCTTGCGTTATAAATCATATGGTTCAAAAGAGAGAGTCTTTGATAAGCTATGTCGAAAAGGTGGTAACGCGTTCCGAAAGCGATAGCTATCGTCGTAATTAGCTTCCACAGAGACGGTGGGAAGTACGATAGTTTTCGAAAAGTGATAGCAATGGTAATTCGAAAGCAAGTGCTGTCGATATCGATGGACGTACTAAAAGTGATAACACCGTTTGAAAGCCGAGTGTCGTATGAAAAAGTATTCGAAAAGATGTGGAAATGGGTATCCTCAATCGGCACCGGCAAGGTAAGGACCACGGATTGTCGCTTGGAGATAAGTTGTTCCAAATTACAATGTTTGAGACATGCACAGAAGGAAGTTATAAGTTAGAAAAAAAAAGAAATGCAATGAATTTACAGACTAGTTCAATTTAAGTTCAATGTTGCAACTACAACCTAGTTATATTTTTATAGGCATGAAAACAATAAAAATAGCAAATATCATGAACCTAAACTCGATTCCGACCACGTACGAGGTACACAAGATATTTAACATATCTAAATAATTTGCAAACTACACCAAATGTCTTTGAAATTTTTGTATAATCTTCATAAGTATCAAAATATCTATGTGTGTATGATGATCACAAATGGGATTGCATGCACTTAATTATAGAGAAAAGATGATAAAAGCTAATAGTTTCATAAACGTACAAGTTAAACCTTTTTTTTTTCAATATATAACTAGCTTTATGGCCCGCGCGATGCGCAATCAATTAAAGAGCAATGGCTTTTAAACGAAAATCATAATATTTATTTGTGTAAACTTTAGAGGAAGAAAAAAAAAATTATAGGACCTTATATAACTAAACCCTTTTTACTATCCTATCTTTTTCGATATTTCTGCCCTTGCTTCTACCAATTGCACGCGTTAGCTTGCATGGGGATGAATTCAAGTAGTCATTGCAAGAAAATGACTATTGTGTGGGATGTCCTTCGTGCAAACATACTGTCGACACAGAATCGGATTGGGCTGCAACTCAACCTTTCTCGAAATGACTCGGGATGAACTTTCAAGGACCCTCCGATGCTCAAGTCAGTATGAGATTTTAGAGAATGTAAATGGCAGTGTAATGTCTCGAATGGGTTGATTTCGGGGAATTTATACTTACTTTGATAGCCCGGCGACTCTCCAATTTCTGGAGGCGTGGTATCATGGGGCGTTCTTTCTCCGATGTGGGTAGAACCGCTAGCTTGCGGCCCACGTTTCGTCCCTCTTTGCTAAAGAATTGGAGGCATGGTTGCTCTGGTCGGGATTACTGGATTCGTACTCCGCTTTCGCCTCCTTTACAGATTCTCCATCTTCTTCTTCTTCCGAATTAGAATTTTGGGCCTCTAGTTCATGAGCCAACCTCGCTTCCGGTTCGTCTGAAAAATCAATTGACTTCTCCCTTCTTCATTGATCTTACAAAGAAAAATTGACTCATTTCGAGTTCGTGCCGATTCATATTATTTTCGAGTTTGATCAATCTAGTTATATAAACGTGTCAAATCACGTTAGTTCGTGTTAGAAAAATTGTCAAGACCAGCGGATTGCTCCTTTTTCAGTTTGCCTTGTGGCAAGTTGGACTCGGCCCGTGGTCGATAGTGCGATTTGATAGGTAGACTCCGTTTGTTTAGCGAAAAATAAATGATTTAAAAAATATTATCTTAAAAATGATCGTTTGTATCGCTCACAAAAATTAATAAACGAATAATATTTTCACCGTCCTCGAAAATGTTTAGATATAAATTGTTGTAGATAATGAAAATATATATCGTTGATTAATTATTTTAAGCAATATAATGGATTAATTATAGAAAAATATTTTTCAAATCATTCATTTCCCGTAAAATAAACAGAGCCTATGATGCATACCAACCCGAAAATCGGTTTTCGCACGCTGGTCCTAACTCGAACACATAGTTTTCAAAGTGAAAGTTCTCGAAAAATTGGATTCTAGTTTGAAGGCGTGCGAGCTCTTGAGAGCAAAGTGAAAAGTTCTTGAGAAATAGAAACAGCGATGGAATATCAAAGCATTATGAAACGTAAATTGCCAGAAATTAAACTTGCACGAAATGTAGATTGGATGGAAATGAGCTAGAACTGAAACTATATGGAATCGCAGAAGTGTTTACAGACTCTTAAATGATGCCACGGAATGAAACACGAAAGTCATTTTCACAGGATACATTTGCGAGCAGAACCCTGCTTAAACCCTAAACTGAAAAAACGATGCAAAAGACATCGATACCAAGAAAGATTGATTAAAACTAATACTCCGTTTATTTCGTGAAAAATTAATAATTTAAAAAATATTTTTCTAAAAATAATCGTTTGTATCGCTTGAAGTAATCAGTCAACGGAATATATTTTCATTATCAACAACAATTTATATCTAAATATTTTTGTGGACGATGAAATACTTTTTGTTCATTCAATTTGTAACTGATATAAGTTTTCGTTTTTAAGAAAAAAATTTCCAAATCATTCATTTCCGCGAAACAAAAGGAGCTGAGGTGAGTTTGTTTGAGGGAAAGTGTTTTCCCGGAATCCGTTTTTCAGACTTTCATCCGTTTGGTTTGCCCAAAATGATAAGTCAACTGAAAACACTTTCCAATTAAGGAAAACATTCATGTATAAAATTAGGAAAGTGAATTCCCTAATCTAAGAAGGTGAAAACATTTTCCAAAATTACTTATTTTTAATTTGTTAATATTTTTTCTTTTATGTTCTTTCTTTTTCTTTGTTTTTCTTTTCCTTTTCTTTCTCCCTCCGCTGGTCGTTGGCCACAAGCGTGGGCCAGCGAGGCTGAGCTCACCAGCCTATGCCCGGGACCATCAAGGCCGGGCCCGAACCCCTCGTGCTTGTACCTTATGCTCTGGTACCCGAACTCTGGTCCACAAAGGCTTCTTCTCTTTTCTTTTTTCCTTTCTTATTTTCTTTTCTCTGCTTTCTTTTTTTTTCTTTTATCTCTTCTTTCTTTTCCTTCCTCCTTCTTCCTTCACCAACGGCACGCCTTGGTGATGGCCGGAAGCTTAGCGATCGGCCAAGACATAGGCTGGCGAGCTCAAGGCTTGGCCGATCCAGGCGAGCCCGAGCTCAGCCGAGGCCGGTGAGCTACGAGCTCGCCAACCTGAGCTTCGTCAAGGCCGACGAGCCGCAAGCTCACCCAAGGTCAAGGATGAGGCGGCTAAGGTGGACGGAGTTGGCGTAGAGGGAGGCGAGGTCATCGGAGATGGCTGCGGTGGTGGTGGTGGAGAGGAGGAAGGAGCGACGGGTGAGGTGGAGTGGCGGATGGGAGGAAGAAGAAGGAAAAAGAGAAAAAATAATTTAAAAATATAAATAATTTAAAAAATACAAAATTATCAATAATTTTCACGATTATATTTCTTCACCAAATAACTGAAAATACTTTCCAAGTCTTTTTTAGGTTTTAGCCAAATACCGGAAAAATGAACTTATTTTCTTGGAAAATAACTCTGTGGAAATTATTTTACAGAAATGGTACATTTTCCGTGAAACAAATGCACCCTATGGGAAAAAGCCACCAAAAATCCCAAACTATGCTCACTGTAATACATTTATCCAAAACTTTTTTGTAAAATCAAAAACCCCAAAGTATGTACACTTCGATACATTTACCATAAAAGACATAAAAAAACCTCAAACTTGTACTTATATGACACATTTATGCTCCGTCAATGCTCTGTCAAATGATTTTTTAGTCCAAAAAAACATCGAATCACGTGAACGTTATGTCAACATTGTTTGCTTTCCGGCATCCAAATAGGTAGATTTTAATTGTTGTTCATTGATGGAATCTTGATAGAGGGTAAATGTGTCACACATATACCAGTTTGAAATTTTTGTTGTCGCGGAAAAAAGTTTAGGGTGAATGTATCACAATGAACATAATTTGGATTTTTTTTTTTGTGGCTTTTTCCCTAAAACTAAAGACCGATGAAAATTTGACAAAGTTACGGCATAGATCGAGCGCGCGTTCTCCGTTCGATCTTCATATCTATACCCCGATTCACAGCAATAAACAGCTAATTCTTTCAGCCCATACTACAGTTCCGTGTTCTTCAGAACAATACGAATGACCATGAATATCTTGCTCGCAGGCACGAATTCTAGACAGAACATGACTGCTGCTTGGAGCATGGGACATAAAAAAAAAACGAACTGATCTGTACAACGATGCGATAGACTTTCTTTAGATATTTAAATGTGACCCATTTATTTAAATTCAAAAAGTAATTTTATATATTATTGTTTGCATCTATCACAGTATTTGTCAGAAAACGAGTACTTGAGCAGCGGAAGCTTCCCTTGCCGACAACTCCTTGGATCGCGTGATTTGAGCTGGGTGGGTAAGTTTTCAAAATGGAAAACTGCATTAACAGTTCAAAATTTTTGGTACAATATGCGATCATATCTTAAACATTTTAAAATCAGTGCAATCGAGTCCTTCTGACGATCATTTCATCAATTCTGCGGATGGGATGTCGGAAATTCGACTAGGGTTTTTTTTAAAATATTTTTTGCATATGTAATATTGATGTGACGTCGATAAGGTGTAACTCTAAAAAAAAGTCAAAATTCAAGAAAAATAAAGAAATTAAACCTCCCATCTTCAACCCCCCTCATAGTGCCCCATCTCTCCAACTTAGGGTAGTTGATTTATCTTTTCTTTTTTTATTGTTTTTGGTTTTTTTCTATTTTAACTTTACAATATTGTTCTTTTTCCAAATTTTTTTTTTCAGTTTTTTTGATGTGTTCAATTAGTACTATGTCAGTGCCACAAAGCTATTTGAATACGTCATGTCGGATTTTTGACGTGCCACGTCAAATATATTGACAGGTGTTAGAAGAATTATTTTTTTTGGTCAAGAATGTTAGAAGATTTGATTGCACCGGTTTTAGAAATTTAGGACTTCTATTGCATTTTCCGAATATTCAGAACTTAATTGTTGGTACAATTTTTCCTTTCTAAAACCAAGGAAAAGAACTTCTTGAAATGCTCAACTAATGTCGCCAATACACGTCTCCTAGATTCTCCAATAAAAAAGTTTCCTAGCTTCGATAAAAAAAAAGAATTAACTCCTCGAAATTTGGTTGACTTTCCGGATTTTATGAGACTATAAGCACAATTGTGAAGGGAAAAAAATAAAAATAATAAAAGAGAGAAAATAATAAAGTGAAAAAAAATGGATTCCACAAAGTCAAATTCGATGCGAATTTCCACAACTTGGGTTTCGAAACCCGCATCAAAACCCACTTGGTTCTTTAAACAAAGATCACATAATCTTTCGATTTTGAGCTCACGAAAAATTACGTCGGACAATCATTAACCAATTTAAAAGTTTAAATCATTCGACAAAGATGCAAAATATATTCTACTTCTTCACAAAATGAACGACCTTATTCACGGCCTGCCAATGTAATTTACATCGTTATGCGCACTACACATCAAATTTAATTATTTTCAAAATCACTTTTGGAGAAATCGCAAGATATCTCATGGGTCGAATTCGAGCAGTTTGACCTTAGACGAGATGCTCCAAATGAATTGCCGTGAACGCCCAAAGATGCCAAAGGAAAATGTTTTGGTTATCTTGATTTTGGCCTTTAATCTTTTGACCTTTGCATGTGTTTGCTGGGGGAGACGTGAATATGAAGTCAGCTTCAAGAATCTGACACTACTGTCGTGCTAGGAAAGGCGAAGGAAGATGCGTTAGTCTGATTAGTTTCAATAATCAAATCTTATCATGCCCCCAATAATCAAATCTAAAGGCTTAGGATAAACATAAGCAACAAGTTTTCGCGGGACTGATCTTCGCGCGCATCTGGCGGCCCGCCGGAGGGCCGCCGACGGCCGCCTCGACCTCTCTTTTGTGTCTGCCATCGCTCGACAACTTTTGCTTCGTGAAAATCACGGCCTTTCGAGAAGCTCGCATTTTTTTTAGGGTTTTCCGCCCTCGAAGTTCAACGCGTGCGGAGGTACCAGATTTGGGGGGATCAAGAAGCCACTTCATCAATTCGGTTTGAGGATCGAAATGGGAATGGACGATAAGTTGGACCGTCAAAATGGGAATTTCGTTTTCTCTATTGATAAAGAATTATGCCATAAAAGAACTCGTATTTATCCTACCATTTTGTATTATTTGATTTTAGGTTAATACCACAAAAAATCCCAAACTGATACGTTTGTAACAAATTTACCCAAAACTAATTTTTTTACTATCAAAAACCCTAAACCGGTATACGCATGACAAATTTACCCTTCGTTAGTTTTCATTAAATTTTATCGTCAAATTTCTGAGTTGGATGACATGTGGTAGTTTACAGGTGCACCAGTTTGGGGTTTTACCCACCGTTTGTCATAGATATATAACAGTTTGTGGTTTTTCACGATGTTAATCTAATTTAACGGATGGTAAATCTATCACGAATGTACCTATTTGAGTTTTTTGTGGTCAAATAGTTAATTTGGGGTAAAATTTATCACAAGTATACCAGTTTGAGGTTTTTTATGGTCAAAAAATTAATTTAAGATAAATTTATCACGGGTGTACCAGTTTAGAGTCTTTCGTGGTATTAACCCTTTGATTTTCTCTCTTTTTAATTCTATGCTTCGTGCATATATGTATACACCTACCACAATCTCGAGTGAACGTGTTTGTTGGGAAGATTGGCTAAAGAAATTTCGGAGTAACAAAATCACATTCTAGAGCTGGTCCCCCAAGAAAAATAATTACATTCTAAGGTCAACTTAAGAATCTACTAACATTGTCATCTTGAGAAGTTATCTTTCGAGCACTCTGATTTCAATGAGCACGTGCACGTGCACACACACACACACACACACACACACACACACACACACACATATATATATATATATATATATATATATATATATATATATATATATACATATACACAGTGTCGTGATTTCTACTTGTTGCAAATCGATCTTGTGTGTGAACGTGTTTGTTGGGGAAGATTGGTTAAAAATTTTCTAAGCACTAAAAAATCACTTCCCAAAGCAGTTCGCTCCCCCCCAAAAAAAAGTTACATCCTGAAGTCAACTTTGAGAATCTAACAATGCCATCCAAGAAAAGGAGGAGAAGGTAGATGAGTTTCTTGATTATAATACTCATGCACAGGTAGCAAGAGAGCATGGGAAGTAAACAAATTGTTCACAAGTACATGCCAGATTTGCTAGTATCAATGTTGTTTTTTGTTATTGTTATCATAACCTTGATTCTTTCGAGTTTTGGTAGCGCTCATTGGACCCGAACGGGTGTGCCGTTTTTCCAATGCAGGTGAGATCGACTTTCAACTTGCAATCTATCTGTTGACTTTTAGCTGGTAAGATTTAGCTATAGCAAAGGGTGCGCATTGATCCCAGTCCAACACGGAACTGAACAACGCCTTTTTTGGGTGGTTGCAGAGGAAATCGGTCCGGTTCCTAATTCTTGGGAAGGAATCGAACTAAATCGATGGAACTGGTTCGGAGTATAATATTTTTTTTATTCAGCAAAGACAAAAAGTACAAATTATTTGTGGGAGTCACCTCTTCTTTTATTAGTAACTTTCTTGTGATTAGTAATTTCATCCTACACTTAAGTAACGTTCAATATATTTAAGAAGTTTTTAAAAAAAATAAAAAAAATTGAAAAAAATAACATTGCCGGTTTCCGAGACCGGCCAATTCGGTTCAAGGATGGACAAGGTCGGTTTCCGATTTCACATACTAGGAACCAACTCTGTCCAATCTGGTTCCCGATTAAGGGTAGGTCGATTCCTACCTTAGAACCAATCACCTTTAATACTTTAGCAATTCTTAGTATAATTAATTGCAACTTTCTTTACCGAAAAAAGGAATTTGAAGAGGATGCACCCTGGAGTCAGATTTTCCAGGAAAATAATTGAAATGGGGTCTATAATAAATGAATGGTCCCCCCCACCACAAAATTTTCCCTCAAGTGTCTTCATCCATGAATTCATTTAGGGGAATTTCTCCAAGACTCCAATTTTTGTTGAGGCCAAACAAGACTAGGAAAGGTAACAATTGTTTGGTAAGAAATGGGAGAGCTTGTGGTCTCACATAGTTGGTAGAATCAATGTTCTATCTCCATTATTTTGACTCGATAAGTCTTTTTCCGCATATTAAAAAGGAATTATGTGAGAATAGTCATATTTTTAAGCATTTTGTTAGATACCTGTTAAGCAACTAATTAAGAAAATTTTACAGTTTTAATGCGTTGAGTGTCTCGTGTTATTCGTGATCACTACTTTGAAAGGTAAATTATTCCTCGTTTAGTACTCCATCGATACCCGAGGGCACTCGCTAAGGGCCTTATATATTCTTGATTTGGGAATAAATCGACTATAGTGGGAGAACATTATAATCTTTAATTCAGGAACGCATAAGATCCTCAAGTACTCTCGAAAAATTGAATACCCCCATTACCATACGAATATATTAAATAACTGACATGATAAATACAGTCAATCAAAATATAAGAAAAGCATAAAAGGTTAATGAGCTATTAAAGAAATTCTATGTGGGTTCGATACGATTGCCACACTATGATTTATAGGGGCTATTAAACTCCAAAAGCTCACTAGGCTCAATAAATGTGAAAAGGACTGTGCACAAGAGTCAAATTGCCTGAGTGATAGGCAGTGTAGTGGCTAATGCTGGCAAAATCTAACATTGCATGATGGCCAAGCTGCATAAACACAAGCTGCTAAGATTTGGTGAGAAGTGAATTCTCTCTAGGTCACATTGTCAAATGGGTAGGTTCCTACAATTACTAACTCCTTGTACCATCCATGTCACATCCCCTATCAAGAAATAATGAAACCAATGCAGAATAACATTGAATAATGTGGGCGACATGGTATAAAGTACCTCACCTCACCTCTAAAGAAGCAACAGTAATGAGTGAGAGTCCCCTTCTATGGGGAACTTGACCACTCAGGGCTGGGCAAGCATCATGATTGAGCAGATGAATTGCTCATAAATGAGAAGATCAAACACCCATGTGACTAAAAATTTAAGGACAAGCCCTTGGTCCAACCAGAAGATGGACGTAACTTGGACCATGCATAGCAAAATAGACAAGTTGCCATCAACAAAAGAAACAAACTGGAATGGAAAGCAACTCTAATTAATAGAGGGTTTTTATAATGTACATAGCCTTTGAGCTTTTCTTATACACAGCCCAACCTACTTTCATCGTCATTGATTGGGTAATAATAGTTTGAAAAATCGACCAACTATCCATATTAATTGGGTTGCGTAAAAAAAGAGAGAGTGAACGGACTGTGTACGTCAAATATTTCCATTAAACAAAGAGTTAACAAAACTAAGCATGATACGGAGTGTTTTGTGTATTAGTAGTAGTCATTTAGTTCATGCTTTTAAAATCAGAAATGTTAGTATAACCTTTTAATTTTCGAGGTTCAATATCCGAATAAGAAGTCATCAATCAAAGCAAACAGACGGTTTTTGTTTCAATTGGAACTTTCTGGTTCTTCTAGCACCAGAATGCTCAATATGACCAAGATTAGAGTTCATGGAGTTGTCTCCATGACTCTATATGGTGACCTTATCATCTTGGAAACACCAGAATTAGAAAACATGTTCAATCATTCGAATCTCGGGTTAATTCAAAATCCCCACAGAATAAGAAGACCCCCTTCAAATTACCAAAAGAGCTTTTACAATTGAATCATCGACAACGTTCATAAAGAGGAAAAAGATGGAGGAAGAAGTTAACATCATGATCAAACTCGCCAGGCAGAGCAGTTTCCTTAACATCACTGCTGCCCCTCATGTAAGCCATGCAATTAGTCAGACTAATAAAATGTCAAATGGTTCAGCTTTACAAAAGCTTCATCTAATCAAAACCCGACATCCGGTAATGTTAGGCGAACCCAAAGAAACGGCCTCCATTGGCTCAATTCCTAACGGGAATGCAGAGCTCCAACACCCAGTTGCATTCTCCATTGAGGGAAAAAGAGGTTCATCTGGCACCGAATTTGACCTGCAACTGATTGTCCTATATTTACAGATTGATAGATGCATATGCAACCGTCTGAATCAATCCCTACCTTATGAGTCTTTTGTGGTTAGCAACTCAGAGTATGAACAGTTTGCCCTAATTCAGTCCTACTCATTCTCATACTTCCATCTTCCAGATCACACTATCGACGTTGCTGTCGTGCGCTTTCTCTAGAGCAGCTACTCTTGCTCTATGTGATGCCTGTGGGATCACACTTTTGCCTCCACTGTCCTGTGTGAGTTCACATGATTCACCGACGGAACCAGATCTCAAATCTGCAGGAGGGATGAAGCAGTCCATTGATAGGCCTGGGACGTTAAATGCAACCTCCTCAATTGTCCAAGTTTCCTCCATCCTAGTTTTTGTATGGCTCATCGCCATCTCCCCAAACCTGAAAACGGTCACTACCGACCGTCCTGAGTGTGCAATCATGATTCCTTCGACGGACCTGTAGTCATCAAGGGATGAAGTGATGGTGGTTTCCCAGTACACAGCGTCTCCACCATTCGTTTGGATACGAGTAAGATGGGAATCCTCGATTCGGACAAGGAGTCCCGTTTTCTGGCTGAAATAGCCAAACAGAACATGTCTTATGATCTCCGCAGGCCCCTCGCTCCTCGCCTTCAATGTCAGAGCGTCAGTGCATAGCTTCAGGATGAAACAGTCCTCACCATTAAGCTTCTTCTCGCCAATGCACCTTGCATCAGAAAACAGACTCGCTGTGGTTCTTGGGTCAAGACCCTGAGAAACAGACAAGCGTCACAGACTCAGTCAGTCATGCACAGCAGCTAAAGGTTATGTGGAAGTAAAAGGAAAGAAGAGACAAAAGAAAACAACTATTACCTGGAGGGCACGGCGCAGGGGTCTTACGGGACCCTTTGCAGTGTGAGCGCCTAGCCAGGGAGTGTGCCTCCAAACAAGTTGCCCATTACAGCCAGCATGGACCTTACTTCCACCAACTGCGAGTTCCACATACCACATATCGGGGTTCATCTGCCAGAGCACGAAACCGCCTGTATGTGCAGAACTCCGGTTTTTCATCGCCTTCATTGCACTTTCAAACTCCGAGCTCACCATCTTCAACTTTCCTAATGCGTAGGCATTTCGGATGGAGTTCTGGAGCTTTAGACCGCCCGATGCAGCTGTGTACTGCTGCAGTATGTATTGAGAAGATGACGTTTCCTGAAATACAATGAGATTGACCATGTGAAATTCGCTATTTCCTCAGTATTTTTTTTTAAAAAAAAAACAGCAAAAGAGGAAAGAAGAAGACGAGAATCTGCCCATCCCAGGGGATCAAACGTGGCTCACGACTGTCAATTGACATCACAAGAGAACATGAAAAATGAAACCCCAGAATGTATTTTGAATTACTATTTCGATTTGTTCTGTCCAACCGAAAAAAGTGAGCTAGCAGCTTGTTTGTTTCCTGCTACAAAAATAGTCTACTACATGAATAAAGTAAAATCTAAACAGATCTCCTTGCCTACATTAAAGGCAAATGCAAACAGTATTAAAATAGTATTCTGAATCTCCAGTTACCTAAGTTGGCATAAACAAAACAAGAAACCAAATATCACCCATGAGATCTAGACCGACCAGTATCTTGGAATTAAATCTTGCCTAACTGGCAGTACATATGCAACAATTTAGCAGCTTTTTTCTAATTACTGTGAATCAGCCAAAACCAACTCATTCTCTCAGCTCAAGAACCACACCTACCCAGCCATCAACAAAAAGAATGCTAGAACTTAATGAAATAATGGAACAGACAGCTAAATTCAAGCCAAAGAATCACTCAAAAACTGCCAAATCTCCAGACAATGTAGTACAAAACAGCATAATTTCCCAAAGACAAGAAAGTCATAAACCAGCTCGATCTCATCATTTATCGAGAGAGATTCGTAGGTGCTATCCGAGTACCCAAGCACCCATCATCGACCAACCTACCACGACGCACCGAAGAATGTAATTGTTTCCCTACCAAAAGGAAAAAGAAACACATACATCTCGATGACATTGTGTTTCATGATCAGTTTGGAGGACGCTTAACGTGATAAATATTTTTCCCAGCAACGAACAGACATAATCAAATGTAATTCGACAAACGTTCGAGTGATTCTCACAAGGAAGAACACGACCCCTTCTCTCTTCATTCGAAATATACACAGCATCGCAATCACACAGCATATGGGAGGGAGGGAGAGGGAGGGAGGGGCTCACGATAGGAGTGTCCTTGACACTGAGGTGGGGCAGAGGGTCGAGGATACTAACGTGCACCGGGGCGAGAGGTGCGCCCATCACCCCAATCAGCATCCTCACGTCGCACCTCTTCCCCGACGACGCCGACGACGCCGACGAGGCGGCGGCGGAGGAGGAGGTCGCCGACGATTGAGCCCTCCCGAGCTGGCCCTTCACCCAATGCCCCAGGCCCGACCCGCTCCCGCCCCTCCTCCTCGGGTCGCCCCCCGGGTCCGGGCCCTCCATCAGCGGCGCCAGGCTCCCGGATCTCGGGACGATCGCCATCTCGGGCGTCGCCGGCACAGCCGCCGCCGCCCGGGCCCGGCGGCCGCGGCGGAGGAGGCCGGAGGAGACGGGGGAGGCGGGGCGGCGGCGGGAGGGGGAGAGGCCGCGGACCACCTCGTCCCTGAGGGCGGAGAAGAAGCCCTGCTGCTTTCTCTCCATGGGGGGGGAGGAGCGGGGCTCTCGGCGCGAGGAGACGGAGAGAGGGAGGGACGGGGAATGATGATGGGTCTGCTACGGTTCTAGAGAGAGAGAGGCAGGGGAGGGAAGGAGGAGCGGCGAAGGAGGCGAGCTCATGGAGAGGGAGAGAGGGAGAGGGATGGTGGGAAGCAGGAGTAGAGTGCGCGACTGCTCTGCTTCTTCTTCTTCTCTTCTTCTCGTTTCGAGGGGGGAGTGTGTGTGACTGGCTGACTGCGCTGGTTTTTAAAGCGTGTGTGTGTAGAGAGAGAGAGAGAGAGAGAGAGAGAGAGTGTAAATGGAAAGAAAAGGAACAAACGAACAAAAAATAATAATAAATAAGCAAAAATAATTCAGGACTGAATTCCACTAGGGAATTCGACCAAGAAAACGAATTCCACTAGGGAAGGGAATGGAGCGGGGCTTGTATTTTGTCTAGGATGAATCGATGTGCACCCTACTCATCCCACTCTTAGCGGGCCCATATGATCTAATAACTCACCCGACACTAAGTATGGGCATGATTTCAAGGTAAAACCCGAAACCTGAGAACCAGATTGATGGAAACCTGTCGATTCCAAGTTTAAACTATGCAGGGTAGGTTTTAGGTTTCAAAAATTAAGGAACATGTTTCGACGAGTAGGTTCCAATTTCTAAGTAAGTAGAACTTGGAACCTAGAACCAGTAGCAAATTTTTGTATTCTTCTTGGTCTATGTCTTCACGCGATCCTATGATATTTCGTGGCATCCGATGATGAGTGTATAATCTGGAACTAATAATCTGAACTTTTATATTTTTTTACTGAGACTTTACTTTGTTAATGTTTCATCTTATACAGAACCTGAAACCGTTCTTCCCTATCTAATGCTAGCTTTGAAGGATGAGGGGTTATGATAATTGCTCCGCTTGGGATGCATGTGCATACTTGTCGCATCACGGTCTATTGGATCAAGTTAATCCCATGTGAGACTTGCTGTGCTCGGGAGTTAAGATGTGTGATCTTGTACCCAATCAGTTGCATAGTTTGTTTGTTATTCCGACCAAAAAAAAATTCCATAGTTTGTTGGCGGTAGTTTAGGATGCTCTCGAGAGTATGAATCGGGTGAACCCAATGGGAGTGGCCGGTTTATATGAATTGTTTATGCGAATGTCAAACATATCCCGACGGTTCAAGCGATTGAGCTCGCATAGATTGCGTTCACTCATCGAGTCTAAGCAGGACAACTTGGCTTTAGCATGTGATATTTGTTTGAAAGATTCTTATGACTAACAAGTTATGGTATTAGGAATGTTTTAGAACACAATTACATTGTGATAACTTATAGGTATATACATATATATATATATATATATATTGAAAAATAAATTGCCTTTTTGAATTATTTAAATTAAAGGTCATCAATATAAAAGTGTAATATCACCAACTTGATCAATCAATCACTCCATCCCTTTTCTCCCATTCTTCTCCCACTCTATCTTTCTCGCTAGTGATGTAATCAGAGTCAAGTGAAGCCAATATACCCAATATACTGCCTAGCTCGAGCTTGACTCAAACTCGAACTCGAGCGACTATTAACTTTCCTGATGGACTAGATCATGAATCATGATGCACAAGCTCAAATAAACTCGATTACAATCAATTTATAATTGAACTTGCGTTTGACATCAAGTTAAAAAAGCTTGAATATGATGTCATTTTAAGAATCTTATATCTAATTTTGCAACTATCAAAATATTATCAGAAATATATATATTGTTTAAAAAAGCTTGACGAGGCTTGCAAGCTTGTTGAGACAGAAATTGACGAATTCAAGCTTGAAACTAGATGAGTCAATCTCGAGCAATCATGAAACCAAGTCCAAACTACTTGAGAGTAACTTGTCCTAACTCGCGCCTGGCAAAAATTCAATCAACGGGTGAAATTAGTATTGATTACAAGATACAAATTAAGTTATGCATGTTTCTGTTAATTACGTGTTTCATCCTCATTGGATGAGCAATTTAAGAAGCTCCAATACAAGTTAGGGAAGAGAAAGAGAAAATATCCAAAAATCAAAGTATCTTAACTTTTATACGGTTCACATTAAATACGAAATATACTCGAATCGACAAAGAGAAGAAAGGTAAAGGTAGAATGAGGTAGTAATGGAATTATTATTAATCAGTCGTATATCCGATGTTATTTTCTATGGAAATTTCTCGATTTGCATTTTAATTCGCACAAATTATTGTATTCGAAATAGGAACCCACGGTACATTCGAAGAAAAAATCGCAATTTATTACCCAAAAAGATATTTGAAGAGTAATTGATGTAGTTGGAGCTCGAGGAGAAATGTTTGTATTACTAATGTGCCATTTTAGCAAGAGTGATCAAGTTCCAAAAATGAGAAGGTATCAAGGTGGAACCCACTAATTTTAATTGATTCAGATTCAGTTCGGTATATGCACTACGTTCATGTAATAAATTCTCGGAGACATGACCAAACAATTCTATTTCTTCACTTGGAAAGGCTTCACTCGAAAGATTAATGGGTTATTTCTTTGCAAAATTGTGCTCATTTTTATATTTGGGAAAAACTCACAAAAAAGGCCCCAACTATATCCGTTGTAACACATTTACCCTGAACCTTTTTTTGTGACATAAAAAATCTCAAATCATGTCTACCGTGACACATTTACCTTAAATTTTTTTTTTGTGATATAAAAACCCCAAACTTCTACTTATGCCACACGTTTACTTCCATCAATGCTCTGCTAAATAATTTTTAGCCAAAACAACGCCGTATTTATTCCACTTAAGTCAAGTGAGTGCTCTGTCAACACTGTTTGCTTATCTAGCGTCGATTTTTAGCGGTTCTCATTGACAGAATTTTGACAGAGGGTAAATATGTCAGACAGATACAAATTTGAGATTTTTGGTATCATATAAATAAATTTTAGTGTAAATATGTCACAATGAATATAATTTAGGATTTCGTTATAGCTTTTGCTCTTTATATTTTTGGGAGAAATTCATGAAGTTAGGGCAAATAAATAAAGTTGACTAGTATAATGGACGCTTTTGTAAACTTCATGACTGGTCAACGACACTTTCTGTGTCTTCCCAAACCGAGTCCCATCATCATTGGTGCTATGCAGGCAAAGGGCCTCAACTTTTGGTACATGATGGCTGGATTAAATCAAATGTTTTGGGCAATTAAGGTGGACAACTCAATGGCCATTGGCTTGTCTGACATGCTGATGCCTTTGAGAGGCAAATCATAGGAAATGGGGAGGAAAAAGATGCATATGTTGCTTAAACTGCAAGGATGTTCTTGTTATGGAGAGAGAACTTTGTAGTACAATCATAGATGCCATTTTGCATCATCTTCAATGATCATCCTCACTAATGGGACTCCGCAGTCAACACTTGATGGGTTTTAACCCATTTTACTAACCTGAAACTAAGGTTGTTTGACATGGGAATTTTCAGAAGAAAAAATGTAAATTAAACTATCCGATGTAGCACGAATTTCGATTGGATAATCGTTCGTTCGCATTTAACTGATTTGATCGACCGGATATTTATTGAACCTGTTCATTTTTATAACTTGCGACACGTGTTTGAAATTTAATTGAACATGGTGCCAAGTGCATTATAATTGGTCTAATTTTTTTCGCTATTTATAAATGACCCCTCGAGGCACGTTCACTCTTTTTTTTGTGAAGTGAACTTGTCTCGATCTTTTTGCAATGCTCGCCGTAGGAATGACTATTTCTTTTGCTAAAGGCTGAACTTCGGCTCGAGTTGCAATTTTTTTGTGATTCAAGATGTCTAGATATATAGAGATCAAGACCATTAGGACTCTAGAGAAGTTCAAAATCTATTGAACTTTCATAAGAAACAATAGACCTTATCCCAACTCAAGTGCAAGCGGGAATTTGAATCAAGATGAATAAGTGAAGCATCCACGAAGATCGCTATACAGAGATCTGGAGCACCATCACTGTCTCTGATCAAACATGCAGGTGTGTGTTCCTACAGAGATTCTGGCGACGTTCACCTACCATGCAGAGACATTAGATGTGTCAAAACGGGCCTTAAACCCATATATGACCTATTTAAAAATAAATGGATCATATATGGGTCACTTTAATTTTAAAAAGTCAACCTTAAATGGGTTATAAATTTTAAAGCTTAAAGATAAATGGGTCTAAATGGGTTGAGTTTGGAACCCATGTCCAACCTACCCACTAGACCCATCCACACACTCTCTCCCTCTTTACAAAAATATTTAAAAAAATCGAAATTTAATTATTTTATTTTTTCTCCTTTTCTTTTATTTTTTCTTTTCTCTTCTTTCTTTTTTTTTTTTTTTATTTCAGCCGGTGGTCGGCCACGACGACCGGCCACCGGGGCGGGACGACCTCGCCGGAGGCCGGCGAAGCTCGAGCCTCGTCGATCTGGCGACCTCGAGGCTCGCCCGATCCCGGCGACCTCAAGGCTCGCCCGATCCCGGCGAGGCCGAGGCCTCGCCGACCTGTGGTGAGGCTGGAGCCTCGTCTGAGGCCGGCGAGGCCTCGTCCTCGCCTGTGGTCGGTCGCCAGCCACGGCGGTTGACGATCGGCCAAAAATAAAGGAAAACGAAAAAAAGAAAAAAACTAATTAAAAATTCGATTTAAAAAATAAAAAATATTAATATTATTAAAATGAATGCACAAAGTAAAATCAAATCAGATTTTATATACCAAATATCGAAAAATATTTTCTAGTTTATTTTCAGGTTTCAGCCAAACGTCAGAATTTTTTTATTTTCTTGGATAATGACTTTATGGAAAATATTTTCTAGAAATGTTGCATTTTTTGTAAAACAAACAGAACCTCGATTTTAAAAAAAATTATAAAAATTTTTCACTAGCTTTGTATTGCATAAAATGTTTTAGCAGTATAATTTTAAAAAAAAAATCATAAGAAACAAGTATTCCTAGATTAGGTTAAATATAAAAATGTTTTAGCAATATGGGTC